CAAGGAGCAGATAGGATTTACCTCTGGACTCATCAACCCATTATCGATCATATTCAACATCTGATTGCATTTAGGAATAGTATCAATAGCATGGCTAGATGCAAGCATAACACCAATATCCTCCAGTATAGTTGCTACAGTGGCTTATTTATGGATGGACTACTTCTTTTGACATGATAAGCTCACATTGCAACTTATTATAATTAACTAACTATATGTATGTATGTATGTAAGTATGTATGTATGTATGTATGTACAAGGCCGGCGCGATAGGGGTGTGTGGGGGGTGTGACACCCCCCCATCAATGATTTTTAGTCGGCAAACTAGACCCTTAGTCGGCAAATTGGACCCTTAGTCGGCAAATTGGACCGGTTGAGACTAGTCAGTCGGCAAATGTCGACCCTTTCGATATAGGTTAGACAGTCGGTAAATGTCGTAATGACAGTCGGCAAATTTTGGAAAACGAGGACTTTTTTTTTTTTTTAGTCGGCAAAAGTTGTAATGGCACCCCCCCATGTGACACCTACTCGCGCCGGCCCTGTGTATGTATGTATATACAAACATAGATACATACATACATTTGTATGTATGTAATATATGTATATATATATATATATATATATATATATATATATATATATATATATATATATATATATATATATTTATATATATATATATTAGGGTGGTGCACAAATATATTGACAATTTCAAAAGTTTCAAAAATCAATGTGGTACTTTTTCCTATTGTTCCTTTTATCATTATATTAATTCCTGCAAAATTTAAGCAAATTTGAATGACTTTTAGAGGTCGCTCATGGCCATGTTTCCTCTTTTAATTGCCATTATTTTCCTATTCTAACGTTACTGTGAAGTTTTTAATATGTACATTTGTTTATTTATTTTATTATGACATAACTCTTAATTTGATTTAATTTAATTAATTATGATAATTATTTTAATCGATTTTAAATATTTTTTAAATATATTTTTCTAATTTAATAGTGTGCAACTATCTTTGACAATATACCGCAAAGCATTTTAATTTTTGTTCATATGAGTGCTGATTTGAGGCTTTAAAAAAATAAATTCATTTTGTGATAACAATTGTTTTACTCAGGTTATATTTTGATTTTCAGAAATATCCTGTAATATGAATTCTCAATTATCTTTCCCTTCGTTTTCGAAAAAAATTGAAACTTGAACAACTACTGACATTTATCTTGTTGGGTCTGTTTCTCCAAATATTTTTGGGATGAAGCTTCCAACATGTCGTCAAGTTCTTGCAGTATTTTTTCATCTTCACAAAATAGAAAAACAAACCGTTAGACAAAGTGCAAGGTGTGTCATTCGAGAAGTATTTCATTTGTGGAATATGGCAAGAATTCCAACAACTATTGAACGTAATGTAATTGAAAAACTTGAAAATATTTTTTACAAGGGGCTAAAATAAAGAAAAACATGAAACGAGCTTCGGCAACACAAACAGCAAATGAAAATGTTTTTTGTGAAGAAATTGATCGCATTTTTGATATAGCACATGCTGATGCCATGAGTTTGATTACAATTGAAGAAGACAGACTATTTCTATTAGATCAGCGAGGTGAACGTAAGGGATACATGGCCGGAGTTGACATGGCATTGGCAAAAACAGAAGAACGTGTCCAGAAAAGAAAAGAATTAGAAGAGTCCAGACGTTTTCAGGAAAAAAAGCGAAAAAAAGAAGCTGAAAATACAAGTCACATTGATTCAATGCACCTATCTGACAAGTCTACATCTGGCACTGAAACCTCAGATGAAGAGTTTATGAAACCAAAGAAATCTAATCAAAATGTTGTAAAAAAGCGATCGCGATCTCAAAATATCATTTCACCTGAGTTAGCATCTGCTCTTGACCGAACCAACGTCACGGATCGCCAAGCGACTTATTTACTGGCAGCTGCAGCAAAAGGTTTAGGTCATGACATTACAGATTTTGCTATTAGTCGCGATACGATCCGGAGAGCTAGAATTACTAATCGAAACAAAATTGCTACAACCATAAAGTTTGCATTCAACTCGTCAAATGTTCCATTGACTGTTCATTTTGATGGCAAAATATTGCCAAATATTACTGGAAGAGATTCAGTTGATCGATTAGCAGTTGTTGTTACAGGTTACAACGTAGACCAGCTTCTTGGCATTCCAAAGTTAACAAGGGGTACTGGTAAAGCAATAAGTAAAGCTGTTATAACAACTTTACTAGATTGGGACATTCAAGACCGAGTTAAAGCAATTAGTTTTGATACAACGGCTGCCAACACTGGTACCGAAGCTGGAGCGTGTACTTTAATTGAAAAAAAGCTTAATAGAGAACTATTACACTTGGCATGCCGTCATCATATGTATGAAATTGTCTTGAGTGATGTTTTTAAGCATTCTCTTGGGCAATCCAGTGGTCCTGAAATAGGATTATTTAAACGTTTTCGTGACAAGTGGTCATTAATTGACAAAAATAATTATGAAACAGCGTTAAATGATCAAACATGTTCGGACATTTTGGCTTCTCACACCATACTCAAACAGAATGCACTATTTTATTTGAAAACAATTCTTGAATCTGGTAAACAATATCGAGATGACTACAAGGAATTGTTGGAACTAACCTTGTTGTTTCTTGGTGATGTTCCTCCTCGTGGGGCTCATGTAATTGCTCCCGGAGCCATACACAGAGGAAGGTGGATGGCCAAAATTTTATATTCAATGAAAATATGGATGTTCAAAAGGCAGTTCAAATTAACGGCAAAAGAAGAAAAATCACTTCGAGGTATTAGCTTGTTTGCTAGTTTGGTGTACACCAAATTTTGGATATCATGTACCAATCCAACACTTGCTCCGTCGAATGATCTCACTTTCTTGAAGACTGTTTTTCAACATAAAGCCATTAACAATGGAATTTTTACAGCTGCAGCAACAGCATTTTCGAGGCATTTATGGTATCTAAGTGAAGAAATGGTAGCATTGGCTTTTTTTGATAAGGAGATCAGCAAGGAAACAAAAGCAAAAATGGTTTTGGCTCTACAAAATGCTGGAGAGGATGAACCACAGAAAAGAATAAAAATCGATTTAACTTCAATTGAAAATCTGCAAATAGAAAGTTTTGTAACAGAGAATACCTTAAATTTTTTCAACATTTTGGAATTACCAACTACTTTTTTGACAACTGTTGATCCTGACAAGTGGACCGAAAATGAAGAGTTTCAACAGGCAGAAAAAATTGTAAAAAGTCTACGAGTTGTTAATGATACGGCTGAAAGAGGAGTAAAACTAATTCAGGATTTTAATTGTTCAATTACCAAAAATGAAGAACAAAAGCAATTCTTGTTGCAGGTAGTCTCTGAACACAGGTCAAAGTTTCCTCTGCCACAGAAATCTTTGTTGATCGATGGAACCAAGTCATCAAAAAACGATGGAAACAAAAACCAATGAATTTTTTTTCATAGATTACAATAATTTTTTGCAAAAAAGCTGAAATATAAATGAAACCTAAAACTTTAACAATTTTTAAGATTTTTTGGAACTATTATTGTTTTTTAAATTTGTCTTTACTATAGTGAACACAAATACATTATTATAAACCAGAAGTTTATTACTTTATTCTTCAATTATTTTATTTGTAAACAATAATATATATAATTCAGTTTAAAAAATACTGCATGGTTTTGGATTAATATACAGTAAGAGTTAAAATGCAATGTTGTATCATAATTTATTCAAAATTTGGGATTGCACACTAAAAGAGAACTCAAACCCAAAAAGTAAAAAACTTGATGTTGATGAGCAACCTTTAAAAATTATTCAATCATGCCCAAACTTCACGATTGTTATTCCTACACATAATGTCACATAAAGAAATGGTACCATCAAAGAAATTAAAAAAAATTTTTTTTTGCACCACCCTAATATATATATATATACATGATTTGATTGCTTTATTATTTATTTAATTTTTGTTTCTATTTTTACAAAGAATTGTTTAAATTTTTTTTTTTTTAAACTTGACTAACTAATCTATTAAAATCTTAATAGATTAGTATTAGTATTATTATGTATATACATACATAGATACATACATACATTTGTATGTATGTAATATATGTATATATATATATATATATATATATATATATATATATATATATATATATATTTATATATATATATATATATACTATAGCATATTTATATGCGTACTTGCTCACTTTTTTTGCTCATCTAAATCGATATAGGTTTTTTAGAAAACGAAGAGGAAAGTCAAAGAATAATTAATGAAAAGGATGCTGACCCATCCAAAACCCTTAGGCAGCACTCCACTGCGAGTCATAGTTTTTTAAAATACTTTAAATTATGAATAAGTTAAATTAAATCTTATGTTGATTTGATTGCTTTATTATTTATTTAATTTTTGTTTCTGTTTTTACAAAGAATTGTTTAAATTTTTATTTTTTTAAACTTGACTAACTAATCTATTAAAATCTTCCATTCAAATGGAATGATTTAATTGCTTTATTTTTTTGTTTCTATTTTTACAAAGAATTGTTTAAAACTTTTTTTTTTTTACTTGACTAACTAATCAGACTATGAATTGATTAAAAATTCCTATTTTAAATAGACTACGGTATTTCTTTGAAATTCATAAATTTTTGTCACTGAAAAACATTTTAATGGTCTCAGGGATTGTATTTTCATTTTTTTTTTTGTAATTTTTATATTTAGAATTAAAATTGTTTCTTTATTTTAGTTGATTTACTTTTTTTTATTCCTATTTATAATTTGCTGCTTCAAACATTATTTTATGTTTAAAACCATAATATTTGTTGATTTAAATATTTAAATGTAATATTTGTTGACGTAAGTCCCAAAATTCTAACAAAGAAAAAATTTAATGCAACAAAGAAAAAATTTAATAAAAAAAAAATTTAAATTTATATAAACAATTGAACAAAAATGTCATTTCTAGTCTCACGTGAACAATCAAGATTTTGCACATTATACATTGGATGAAGTTGACGCTGCATTCGATAAGATTATTCAACTAAAGTATTCCCAACATGTTAGTTTAAAAGGTAAGTATTTTTTTTATTGTTGCAGCAAAAGTAAATGTTTGTAAAAACTAAGATATTATCAAATAATATTTGGTGTCTATAAAATTTAGGAAGGGCAGGCACCATACACACCACTGAGCTTTGAGCTTTCTTTAAGTGTTTTAGGCTATTATGCATTTAAAAACAGTCAAATAATACTATTTAAAATTTTTTAATAAGTTAAAAAAAGAACTGAAAGTAACAATTAATTAATTAATTAACGAAATTAAGTACGAAAGTAACGGTTGTAAATTGAAAAAAACCTTGTTCTTTATACTTCTTTTTCATTTTTATCTTTAAAAATAAAATTTTTTAAAAATAAAAGCACAGACAATATAAGCTGATACATGTACATATATGTATGAATATATATAAATATAAAATTAGTTTTATATACTTATAGTAAAATAATAGTTTTGAGTAAAGGATAAATTATTTATATATAAATTCAATATTTTTTAATTTTTTAAATATATTTAAGTAGCCTTATAAGTAATTATATATTATCAGTTGTAGACTGGCTTTGTTTATGTTTTATTACTTCATACTAAGATTATTTAAAAAATAAGGTATAAAATATTAATGTATATGTATATACAAATGTCTTTGCATACTTTGATTTGCATTAGAAAAGACTAATGGGGTTACAAATTTAATAAATTCTTATGGCACTGACCGTGCAGCTGCAATATTTACAGATTACTTTGGCACCGTAATTAAAAACGTAAATAAAAGTCAGGTCAGGTTTTCCTGCTACTGGTAACATGTAACCCAGTACAACCTGCTCCATGTCCTGCTGCCTTGTAGGATACGCTTTTTTAGGCAAAGGCTAGGAGAAGTTAACTCCGAATTAAAACACCCCCTGCCTTGGGGCTCTTGGTTGAGTAAAGGCTAGAGATGGTGTCTTGATAAAAATACTCATCTTGGGCAGATGTTACATGCATCCAGCTGCTGTCTTGTAGAAGGCCTCCTAGGCAAAGACTTAAGGGGTAAACAGATTCTATCTGTTGACCAGCCTCGCACCCCTTCCTCATCTATTAGGCTGGCGCAGATGTATTTTTTAAAACATTGTTTCCAGTTTAGGATGTTGAACGGTGGATCTTCTTGACTCAATGCGTGGGTATTGCTTGTGTCTCTATTTTTATGACTGGGCAACTCATTCTATTATCTCCTAATGAGGGTACAGCTCTAAAACTCAGTTTTATGGTTCTGAGGCCGGCTGGTAGTCAGGTTTCCCGAACTCTGTGGTAGCTCTCAGAGAGGCTGATTCCATCAACAGCCGAAAAATATCAGAGTACTAACAGTGCCATGTTGCGCATGGATGGTCTCCCTGTTTGTACTTTTGGTGTGCATTGCAGAGGCCACATTTGGAGCCCTTTGTTACGGCTTAGGGTTTATTAATAGTAATGAGGCTATTGCTTAGTTGTTAAATAGTGTACTGAGTACTATCTATACTTGAGTCAAGTTCTTTATAAATTTAAAATGACTAAAGTACCTAAAACTAAAAAACACAAAAAACCATCGTCATCACCAAGTTCTCTAAACCTATCATTTACTAATATTCGTGGTCTTCGAAGTAACTTTTCTTCTGTTGAGTCTTATCTCTTGCAAAGTTCACCAGACCTACTTGCTCTTTGTGAGACTAATTTGAGTTCGGCTGTCCCATCTTGTGATCTTAGTGTTGATGGTTATCTTCCTTTAATTCGTAAAGACTCCAATAATCACATGCTTGGCCTGGGCATCTACATTCGTAAGAACTCACCCATTTGTCGTGAAACTAGGTTTGAATCTACAGACTATTCATTTATGTGCTTTCGTTTAGCACAACTTCACTCTATCGCCTTTCTCTTTGTTCTATATCGCTCTCCTTCATCCCAAGATTGCACTATTCTTGATGTTATTTCTGATCAAATTGACCAAGTTCTCTCTCTTTATCCATCGGCCAATATCGTCGTTGTTGGTGACTTTAATGCCCATCACACCGATTGGCTTGGCTCTAGTGTCAGTGACTCTGCTGGCGTTAAGGCCCTCAACTTTTGCCTTTCTCAATCTCTAACTCAAATAGTCAACTTTCCAACTCGTTTTCCAGACAACCCTAATCATTTACCTTCTCTACTCGACTTATGTCTTGTTTTGGATCCTAGTCAGTGCTCAATTTCTCCACATTCACCCTTAGGTACTTCTGATCACGGTTTGATCTCTCTAAAACTATTATCAAATTCTTCTACATCATCAGAATCCCCCTATCATCGTACCACATACAACTACCTTAAAGCTGACTGGGACTCTTTCCGTGATTTTCTTCGTGATGGCCCTTGGGTAGAAATCTTTCGTCTTCCTGCTGACAAATGTGCTTCTTACATAACTTCGTGGATTCAGGCTGGCATGGAATCTTTTATTCCCTCTCAACGATTCCAGGTCAAGCCTCACTCTTCTCCATGGTTTTCCTCACATTGCGCTGCAGCAATTTCTAATCGAAACCGTTACTTCCATATCTATCAGCAAAACAATTCTCCAGAAAACAGACATCTGTTCACTATCGCCAGAAACCATTGTAAAAAGGTTTTGTCTGACGCCAAAGCTCGCTATTCCCAGGTCATTAAATCTCGTATCTCATCACAAAAATTAGGCTCTCGAGACTTCTGGAGAATCTTTAACAGTATCAATAATAAGGGCAAATCTGTTATTCCTTCTCTCTTGTATGGTTCAGACTTTGTCACCTCACCTAAAGACAAAGCTGAATTGTTTGCTAAGAACTTTTCATCAATATCATCTCTTGATTCCACTAGTTGCGTTTTACCTGACATAGTTGTCAAACAGGTTGATCCCTTGCTTGACATTCGCATCACTTCAGCTTCTGTATCTAAAGTAATTTCCTGCTTAGACTCTTCAACAGCTTGTGGTCCTGACAACATTCCTGTTGTAGTCTTGCAGAGGTGTTCTCCGGAGCTTTCATCCATACTTTCTAAACTATTTAACAAGTGCTTATCAGAGTCTTGTTTTCCATCATGCTGGAAAGCAGCATCTGTAATCCCTATTTTCAAAAATTCCGGAGAGCGGTCTGATTCATCTAACTACCGTCCCATTAGTCTTCTTCCTGTCATAAGCAAGGTTTTTGAATCTTTAATCAACAAACACTTAATCTCTCATCTTGAATCAAATAACTTACTTTCTGATCATCAATATGGATTTCGGTCTTCTCGTTCTACAGCTGATGTGCTAACAGTAATAACCGATAGGTTTTACCGTGCATTAGATAGAGGTGGAGAGGTTAAGGCTATCGCACTTGACATTTCTAAAGCTTTTGATAAAGTTTGGCATGCTGGTCTTCTCCATAAGCTTTCTTCTTATGGTGTAGCTGGTAACGTCTTTAAGATTATTGAGTCCTTTCTTTCCAATCCTAGTATAAAAGTTGTCCTCGATGGACAACACTCTTCTTCACATCCTGTAACTTCAGGGGTTCCTCAAGGTTCAATCCTTGGCCCTATACTCTTTTTAATTTACATTAACGATCTTCGAGATATTCTCACATCTAAGGTGGCATTATTCGCTGACGACACTACCATTTACTCTTGTCATGATAAGAAGCCTACACTCTCTGATTGCTTGGAGGGGGTATCTGAGCTTGAAAAGGATCTCACTTCTGCTACAGCATGGGGCTCACAGTGGCTGGTGAACTTTAATTCAGATAAAACTCAATTTTATTCGGCCAATCGTTATCGTAATAATTTAGATCTTCCTATATTTCTGAATGGTAATGTACTAGATGAGTCATCTACCATTCATCTTCTAGGATTAACTCTTACTTCTGATCTTTCTTTTAAACCGTATATCAAATCCATTGCAAAATTAGCATCTGCTAAGGTTGCATCTCTTTATCGAGCTCGACACTTTCTTACTCCAGATTCTATTCTCTATCTCTATAAATCTCAAATCCGTCCCTGTATGGAATACTGTTGCCACATCTGGGGCGGATCTTCTAATGATGCTCTTTCTCTTTTAGACAAAGTGCAAAAACGAATTGTAAACATAGTTGGACCTGCTCTGGCAGCCAATCTCCAACTTTTGTCACATCGTTGTAATGTTGCTTCTCTTTCTCCTTTCTACAAATACTATAATGGGCACTGCTCTAAAGAGCTAGCGTCCCTTGTGCCTTCTACTAAAATTCATTCTCGTGTTACTCGCCATTCAATTAAGTCTCATCCTTTTTCTGTGACTGTTCCTAAGTGCTTCAAAAACTCTTATTCTTCTAGTTTTTTTCCTCGAACATCAGTTCTTTGGAATTCGCTTCCTTCATCTTGCTTTCCTGATTCATATAATTTGCAATCTTTTAAGTCATCAGTCAATCGTTATCTTGCTCTACAGATTTAGTCTTTTCTCTTCCAGTAACTTCCAACTCTTATAGTGGTTGCTTGCAGCCTTGTTGGAAGTGAAGATGTTAAAAAAAAAAAAAAAAAAAAAACTTAGCATAAAATATCATTGAAATTTGACACTCTAAAATAGGGAGCTGCAAGGGCTTCATTGCAAACATTGACTAAGGGTTTGGATTTAGACAAGTTTGCACTGAAGTATTAAGGCTAGAGAGAAAGGAATTTTATTATGGTAAAAAAAACTTTTTTTGTTTTTTTATTA